GTTAGGTTTGCATGTTGTAGCTAGTTCTGGTGGTCAGAAGTGAATCTGTCTCTCAGTTAGGTTTGCATGTTGTAGCTAGTTCTGTGGTCAGAAGTGAATCTGTCTCTCAGTTAGGTTTGCATGTTGTAGCTAGTTCTATGGTCAGAAGTGAATCTGTCTCTCAGTTAGGTTTGCATGTTAGCCAGCTAGTTCTGTGGTGTTGTAGAATCTGTCTCTCAGTTAGGTTTGCATGTTGTAGCTAGTTCTGTGGTCAGAAGTGAATCTGTCTCTCAGTTAGGTTTTGCATGTTGTAGCTAGTTCTATGGTCAGAAGTGAATCTGTCTCTCAGTTGTTGTCTGTGGTCAGAAGTGAATCTGTCTCTCAGTTAGGTTTGTGTGTTGTAGCTAGTTCTGTGGTCAGAAGTGAATCTGTCTCTCAGTTAGGTTTGCATGTTGTAGCTAGTTCTGTGGTCAGAAGTGAATCTGTCTCTCAGTTAGGTTTGTGTGTTGTAGCTAGTTCTGTGGTCAGAAGTGAATCTGTCTCTCAGTTAGGTTTGCATGTTGTAGCTAGTTCTATGGTCAGAAGTGAATCTGTCTCTCAGTTAGGTTTGTGTGTTGTAGCTAGTTCTATGGTCAGAAGTGAATCTGTCTCTCAGTTAGGTTTGCATGTTGTAGCTAGTTCTGTGGTCAGAAGTGAATCTGTCTCTCAGTTAGGTTTGCATGTTGTAGCTAGTTCTATGGTCAGAAGTGAATCTGTCTCTCAGTTAGGTTTGTGTGTTGTAGCTAGTTCTGTGGTCAGAAGTGAATCTGTCTCTCAGTTAGGTTTGCATGTTGTAGCTAGTTCTGTGGTCAGAAGTGAATCTGTCTCTCAGTTAGGTTTGCATGTTGTAGCTAGTTCTGTGGTCAGAAGTGAATCTGTCTCTCAGTTAGGTTTGCATGTTGTAGCTAGTTCTGTGGTCAGAAGTGAATCTGTCTCTCAGTTAGGTTTGCATGTTGTAGCTAGTTCTGTGGTCAGAAGTGAATCTGTCTCTCAGTTAGGTTTGCATGTTGTAGCTAGTTCTGTGGTCAGAAGTGAATCTGTCTCTCAGTAAGGTTTGCATGTTGTAGCTAGTTCTGTGGTCAGAAGTGAATCTGTCTCTCAGTTAGGTTTGTGTGTTGTAGCTAGTTCTGTGGTCAGAAGTGAATCTGTCTCTCAGTTAGGTTTGCATGTTGTAGCTAGTTCTGTGGTCAGAAGTGAATCTGTGTCGATCTGATGTTTGCATGTTGTAGCTAGTTCTGTGGTCAGAAGTGAATGTGTGTCGATCTGATGTTTGTGTGTTGTAGCTAGTTCTGTGGTCAGAAGTGAATCTGTGTCAATCCGATGTTTGTGTGTCATAGCTAGTTCTGTAGTCAGAAGTGAATCTGTGTCAATCCGATGTTTGTGTGTCATAGCTAGTTCTGTGGTCAGAAGTGAATCTGTGTCGATCCGATGTTTGTGTCATAGCTTGTTCTGTGGTCAGAAGTGAATCTGTGTCGATCTGATGTTTGTGTGTTGTAGCTAGTTCTGTGGTCAGAAGTGAATCTGTGTCGATCTGATGTTTGTGTGTCATAGCTAGTTCTGTGGTCAGAAGTGAATCTGTGTCGATCCGATGTTTGTGTCATAGCTAGTTCTGTGGTCAGAAGTGAATCTGTGTCGATCTGATGTTTGTGTGTTGTAGCTAGTTCTGGGGTCAGCCTTGTCGTTAAAGTGTTTGCATGTCACGCTAAAGACCTGGGTTTGATTCCCTACATGGGTACAATGTGTGAAGCCCATGTCTGGTGTTTTGGTGTGATATTCCTGGAATATTGCTAAAAGTGGGCTAAACCTAAACACACTCTCTCCCTGTGTGGTGTGGCTAGTTCTGTGGTCAGAAGTGAATCTGTCCATGTGATGTTTCCTGTTGCAGTTGGAAGATGTAGAGGTGAGCGTTGCAGACCACGTTCAACGTGTCATCAAACCCAACTTTGCTGCATCGTGGGAGGAAGTTGGCCCAGAGAATGAGTTGGAGGACACCTATGCCCTGTCCACTATCAACTCTTTAGAAGGTTAGTGACCCATGACTTGACCTTGAGAAGTCACAAAGTAAATGTGTTGTGGAAGAGGGCTGACAGGATGTTTGGATGGTAGCATCTGCTTCATAAATACTACCGGGTGCAGTAGTTGTAAATAATTCTGTTAATCAAGAAATGTTACTGACTTAACTCAGTTACATGCCTCATTATATTCAAAAGAAAAACATCTCCACTATGCAAATTTCAGTCACAGCAGTGCTTGTGTGCCACTACTTTTCACTTTTCCTACCTTTCATGGAAGTGAAGTCACGTGTCAAGCATTTGGAAGACTTTGTTAGTGAGAAATAGAAGCAATATCATTCAAACAAAATTGATATCAAGGCATATTTTCTTTCACTTCTTATCAAAAGAAACTATGGTGAATATGGAAAGTAGTTTCAACAGACAGTTCAGAATATGGACTGTCCCTCTTGGCCTTAACAATCTATTTCATGATTGATATAACTGACTGCAAACTACCAGTAACCTGTATCACAAGACTAGTTCCTCTTGTGCAATTACCTTCTAGCAATACAACATTGAGTGATCTTCTTGTTAGACAGTTCTGCATCAATTTACCTTTCTGTTCAGAATTGGAGTATGTTATTTATTATGATGCCTTTTGTATGGTAAAAAGTTCTGTTTTCCTTTTCAGAAGCCATCAAAAATATTATTCAGTACCTTGGCATGCAGCCCTGTGAGCGTTCTGACAAAGTGGCAGAGGGCAAGAGCGCACATACTTTATTCCTGGCTGGTGTGTTCCGTGGTGGCCATGATGCTCTTGTAAGAGCTAAACTTGCTCTTACTGACTCTGGCGTGACAATGCAGCTCACTGTCAGATCCACAGATCCAAATGTATCAGAGGTTCTTGCAACAGCCATTGCATAGATATCCCAGGTAAAATGTATTCCAAGGTCATGTAGTCTGATACAGTTTCTCCAGCTGAAACCAGACATCATGCATATACTGCTCTCTGTGCTGGCCATCATGTAAATCATACCTTGTTTACCATAATTCAACCGAATGTTATGTGACATAAAAATGTTATCTTGTGAAATCATGTGTACAGCTATCTTAAAAATCCAGATTTAAATAAATATCATCTCAAGTTATGGAAGTTCAGTATTTTAGATCTTTACTGAAGAGAAAGATGTAAAATTACATTTTGAAGCTTCTCTTGACTTCTTTACTTAGCTCACTTGTTAATGGTTTGTAGTAAGCAGGCCAGCTTTGTTTCCTGTTTGTCAGTACACCATGATGCTCATAAGTCAACTAAACATTTGGGATTGGGAGGTCACAGATCCCTGTTTCCTTGTACAACAATTTTGTAAAGTTTACAATATTCTCCACTGTATTGTCCTGAATAGCTTGAGTACAATCTGTGACTGCCATGATGTAGCTATAATGTTGATATGGCCTAAGATATTTTTTACTTGACACTAAACAAACAATAAGCTGTTTTCCTTCTGTCATGAACAATGAACAGTGAAATACGTGAACTACAAAGCAATGGTCAGATTGTTTTCATCATTGGAGAAGAGAAATGTTTTCTTGGGTCGCTGTTGATTTATGTATAAATATATTGATTTAAAAAGGAATAAATGTTATATCCAGATGTTTGCTTGTTAACCTCCAGCAGAATCATTGTGGTACATATGATCAGCATAACAAAGAAGGTGACTGATGCTGTGCAATTGTTTGTTTAACGCCACACTCAGCAATATTCCAGCTATATAGCAGTGGTCTGTAAATAATCGAGTCTGGGCCAGACAATGTCAGTGATCAACAGCATGATCATCAATATGCTCAGTTGAGATACAATGACTTGTGTCAACCAAGTCAGTGAGCCTGACCACCTTATCCTGTTAGTTGCCTCTTATGGCAAGAGACCCTAATTCTAACCCGGAACTTCACAGGTTGATTCAGTGCAAAGTAATGGTGATACTTGATACCACAGGTCACTTTTGTTGGAAGACTCATATGATGCAGATGGATTCCTTGGCCAAGACTGGTGAACTTTTGACTGTAAGGTCAATGGAGAATTGAACTGCATAATCACATGGCTACTTACATAACAGCCTCCTCTGAAACATTTACTCCAGAATGAGGCAGATTTCTACATTTTGCCTTGTGAAAATAATAACTGCAGTTGAGGCAGGGAACTCAACCTGTTTGTTTCATTTAATTTGACAAATTAATGGTAAGTGGTTTGTGACTGAGCAGTGCTATCTGTCTCATACCATTTATTCACCTGATGGAGTCAGGATATACTCCAAAACGTTGTAATCCTCATAATATAGAAGTTGACATCCATAATAATTCTCTTCCTCAGTGTGTAAATGCCAGAATATTCTTTATTATGAAAACTGATGTATAATCAACTACAGATAAGTGCATGCAAGACCTCAATAAATGTCGGACCTTACTCATCATGTATACACTTAAAGGTCATCTCAGGATTGAACACATGAGAATCATTGAAACAGTTTCTCAGTAACCTTTAAGATGGTTTGGACTGGCCTGACCTTTGACAGATATGACGATGTCAAGCTATGGTGTTAACAGAGACTTAAATATTTCAAAATAATCTTAATGCTGAGAATGTCAATTCAGTGGTCTCTTAACCGTCACCAGCCATGACTATATGGAGCATTATCAGCAAAATGTTTGAAGAATACCTCAGTCCTGTCACAGCATGTCGGCTTAATATGTGAAGAAAACTCAAAAGTGTCAATGGTCATTGATGCTTGGAACTTGTGCAAGAAAACCATGATCAGTGGGCAAGGACTCAATCCTGCACTCCAACCTTCCTGGCTTTAGATCACTGTGCTATGGAAACCTAGATCAGCCTAAATGAAATCACATCAGAAATGGTGTTCTCTATGACATCATTCCGACTGAAAAACAACATTTATCAAATCCAGTCTCAGTAAAGGTGATTGACAAGTGACAACTGATTTTTGTATTTATTTGATGAAGGTATAATATACAGCAGAGTTTGCAACAAATACTTAATATCAAGAATAGAAATGAGGATCCTCATCAATCACTTCACCTCCATCAGTTTACAGTATGTATACTAGTATCCCATCTGACAGCATATTAAGGAGATAATTCAAGACATTGTTTTGGTACATACCTATGATATCAACAATTACCGTAAGGTGCAAAATCCAAATTTCTTAAAAAGATTATTTCTAGTCAAATCCAGATGCACAATACTACTCAAATGATATTCAAAGGGGGGTGATCAGTACAGACAACATGAATGGAGGCATGTATGACTCTCATGAACATAAACTGTTCAAAGAACAAGTTTTGGAAATGAGAGCATCATTTCTTTGGCCAGATATTGCTGAGCTGATATTTATAAGACAATCAGTCTGGACTTTAGTGTAAAATTGAAATGGTTCTAAGAAATAAATCATCCCTGTACTGGTATACAAACTGTTTCGGTTCAGAACATGTATATGCATATAGAAAAACACAAACTGGATCTTCCACCTTTAAGCCTAATACCTGTTGCACTACATCTATTTGTTGCGATTCTTGAACCATTACTGGCCACACATGTAGATGGGCACAGTAGCTCATTCACAATCAACACAGAGGAAACTTTAAAAGTTTCTGACAATGATGGGAATGGCAGCAAGACAACACATATCACAGAAATATGGAGGAAGATTTACATTTCCTTGAAAGCATATCATGGCCATATTTACTGCACAGTTCAGTTCAAATTTTGTGCATGTATATATGTATTGGCAATTACTGTTGGAACAAAAACATTGACTATTTATAGTGTTAGATGATAACGGTCATAACAGACAGATGAACAATTTCCAAATATTGTCTTAAGTATGTCTCAATGATTTATGTAACAATGCCAGTCATGTTTAAGATCAGAAATCCAGGAGCTCTGTCGAATAACAATATTTCTGCTTCACAGATAATTTGGTAAAGAGGAGACTTTTAAATGTAATTTAACAGATGGATGAACAAACATCACACAATAAAGAAGCTCACATTAACGTTCTTGTCAGATGAACTAAAAGCCAAAAATGCAGGAAATGAATACTTCATATAACACAAGAAACAATTACCATTGAGAGTGACAAATTGTACTTAAATTATATGTGATTTTGTTTCTTTAGACCAGTATGAATCAGGTCAAATCAAATGGTTACAAAGAGTCATTTTTCAGTAGACGAGAACAAAATGACAAGACAGCACACGCAAGGCCAAAGCATTCCCTTGAGAGCTTATGACATAATAATTGAACCATTCAGCTTAGCACTAATCATGCTGATATAGACGACACTTTCAAGGGTCACCCCAGGAGACAATCATCTTTAACATTCCTTATAATATTTCAGGCAGCACCTGACTAATACTGACATTTGCATGACATCGGTACAATTTGTGTCAGATTTGAGACACAGCATCTTGCTTTGATACATATTTGTCAAGACTACAACCATAACCTCAAATCAAGATCCCAAACAACACCTGCACCCAACTGCTAGCAATAACCATTTAGTATGGCAACACCATGATTTGAGCACAGCCACAGCCAAAGATGTACATTTATGACTTGTAGTTTTGCAACTTTGGTTTCAAAGCTGACACAGTATTTTCTTGAAAAGTTTACATAAATTAATCACAATAATGATTGCTTCGGGAAAACTGATCCTTTGACAACACAATCATTCTTGAAAATATCACAGAAAACTAAAGATCACACTTAAATTTTACATACACACATATATATATATATAACGATGTATTTAAAGTCTGTTTGACCCCAACACACTACAGTGCAATAGGCAAGCACTAAGAGCAGCATAGTTCTCTATCCAAACAAACTGTTTCCATAACTGTTATTTACAGACATAAAATGATCTTTGTGCTGAAAACACATCCACTCACTAATACATGATGACGCATACAAGAGACTTGTGAGAATGCCAGAGAATAATTGTGTGGAGAATTTCACCTTCCGGGAATGATCATGCACGTTGATAATTAGCACAATACTGCTGGAGAAAGTTCAAAATGATTATCTGCACATTGTTAAATATGATGACTAGATAAAAACACCCGTGAATGTTGTAATAACTTAAGTATTGGTCCAACATAGTGAATACACGGTCCATGATGATCCACAGATCATAAGGCATCTGCCTTGTTCATATGTAACTTCAGAGTTACTCATCTCCTCACACACTAAGTCCTGAGTCATCTGCATCCTTCTCGGACAACATCTGCTGTGTGCGGAGATACTCAGAGTACAACTGACGAGCAGTATGCAGCACTTTATGTACACTGTGACGTCTCACCATTCGGTCAAAGTGCATGGCCACTTCCTCGTAGTCTAGTTTATTGCGCATAATGTGATTTCGATGTTGTAGGAGTAGTGTTAAACACAGGAACATAAGGAATGGGTTACCACAGCCAAATTCATGGGGAGGTGGCAACTTCTGAGCAATTTTTTGAGGCTGAGAGTATGTTGTTGGAACTCATTGATGATTCTCCATCTCCTGACTCACTGCTCTGGGACTGTTCCCCACCCTTTGCTGAAGATACATCATCAGCCTTAGTGTTGGCTTCACCTTCTGAATGACTAGATATTTCCTTAGGAATTGTAATATTGGCTGGTCTTCGCTTAGGTGATGATATCAGTTTCTTCATGTTTCCAAAGAAAGAGGTACGTGTCTGCTTTTCCTCGGTGTTTACTGGTGTTTCTGGTTTGTTCTCCAATGAAAGATGGAATTGCATCTGTTGGTCAGCATCATCTGCTTTGTCAGCATCCTGTGAAACATCCTCCACTTCAGCAAAATTCTCTTCCACAATACTGGCATCTGATGGAGTAGCGCCTGTACCACTGTCATTAGAGCTACCATTGAAATCGTCTTCACATTCACAGGAAGCATCTGCACGATCACCTCTCATGCCATTCAGTTCACTACTGTCCACACTGCCACTGGCACACTGGCCATCATCATTGTCACCGGATCTAGATTCCTTTGTCACAGCTGTGTCTTCAAGGTGTCGGTCTATAGAGGTGGAACGACGCTGCATTGCACGGGTATCAGGATCATCCAAACGAGGGTAGTCTTGTGTTATTTCTTTTCTCTCATCTATTGGTGATGCATCAAATGTTGAAACACTATTGTTGTTAGCAGAGTTTCCTGGTATGAGTTCATTAGGAACACTTCCACCATTACTCCGAATAGAAGACCCTTGGCGGCGCATGGCTAGCAGCTTGGCATAGACAGTTTGTTGAAAAGAAAATGATGGAGAGCATGGGGAGGTGGAAAGATACTTAAAATTGAAGCCTTCATCAGTGAGATCGAGTGAATGTTGGGGTGGGTCAGGTGGCAGGGTGCTGAGCATTACCTCCAACATGTACAGAGCATCATCAAGGGGAAACTCACGCTTAAGCTCTAGGAGAAGCCAGCGGTAGCAGAAGAATAGGTCACCAGCAGCAATGTTCTGTAGGTACGAGAAGTAGTCTGGATCATGAAGTTGAAGCAGATGGGCAAGGTGACTGAACTTTGTCATGATCGTAGCACCACTGGGCAGAAAGTTCGCTTTGAGCCGTTTCATCAGACCACAAAAACATAGATAAGCCTGAGCTTCATCCTTCTGAGTAACCAGGATGGGAGAGGCTATATCACTCATGCCTTGACAATAAGACACATCTGGATGTGTCAAGGAATAAGTTACCAGAATGTGAAATAAACTCAGAATGTTCTTATTTTCATCACCACCTGCATAAAACTTGTGTGTTCTATCTGTTCGTAGCACATCTTTCTTCACCATTGATGCTACATACTTCACCTCCTCAGTAGCAGTGTTTGTACTGAATCTCTCTTTCCACTCATCTCGCAGGCGGTAATATTCACGCTCCCTACCTTTCAGATAATCAAAGCGTTCCTTGCCTGATAAATTAGCTGGAAATATATTTAGTAAGTGTCTCCAAGTGACCCGCCTCAATGATGGTTCAATGCCGCCCTGGTAGATGCTGAGTCTAAACTCCTGCGGTTTTATCATGAACCCTCCTGAGTCCAGGTAGTTGTGGAACTCCATGTCAGACATTGGTGGTTTCACTGGGCGATACAACTCCTCATCAGTCTGCTTGAGGCCTATAAACAGATTCATTATAATGTGAACCATTAAAACTGTTTAAGTAGAAAAGTATTGTGTTGTGTCTGCTTAATGGAGGCAGGTGTGAGATGTTTGCCACTTCCCTGTAACCCATGAGGATGATGCTTACACACCTAAAAACATCAGGGAATACCAGGTTTTGAAACCAAGATCATTGATTTCTGTCATGCCCTAGGCACACAACTCCCAGTGAATCCCTGTGCTTTAGACAACTGGGCCACTCATGAGCAATGATATGAGTATGTGTAATACACATGATATATGATTCAGTGATTTGAGACTAAAAATCTGCCTGTAAAATATCAATGCCATTAATCATGTTTACGTATACAACATGCATCATCTAGTTGTAATACATTTTGAAACTGCTGTGTTTTGATTCGTTTCAGGACATTTCAGTGGTCAAATATAAACATGATAAAGATGACTATAACACAAAATCTCACTCTCAGCTTTATGAAACCAAAATAAGGTCAATGACCATACTAGCATAAGAATTACATAAATGCATAATCTTGTATTATTTTAATATTCAGCAGACAATGTCAAAGTGAAGTAACAAATACATTTTTTCAACCTGGCGGCTAGATGGCCTATATATAGAACTGGAATGATATGAGTAATGAAAAAGCTGAACCACTGCTGGGGTTATCCATGCAGTGACAAACTTTCAATGGCAGACCATGCCATAGACTCAAATAAACCTGACTGTTCAGACAAAGCAAAACAAATCCACCAAAACACATTATTCCAAACACAAGTGAAAAATAAAACAAATCAATTTAAAGAACATGTATGAGCTTTTAACATGCACAGGACGGCTCATCACTCTTTGTGGAGTCATTAGGCTAGTAAGTGCAGGAATGTGTGAGGAGGTGTGACCTACATAGCTCTCTGTACAGAGGTCATGGTCTTGCCAACCTGGGAGGTGATTGTTCCAGTGATGGCACCAAGAAGGGATGCCTTGTCTAGGATGTTGGTTACCTTATGTTGTGGAATGTCAGCTGGAGCAATCACATCCCAATCATCCAAACCTATACAACAGGAAAAGCATACTCTCATATATCTATATATCTTCCACTGTGCCTCAGTTTGCAACTACCAACAAGCTATGCCATATACTACTTTGCCACATGTCAATATATATAGGCATATGTGACATGCTCATTGATTTTCTCCCATCTCAAAATGTCTGCAACATCTGTTCTCTAGAAACTTATTTCTGATGAATGGTTAGACAAACCAACCTAAAAACAAATATGCTGCTCTTCCAAATCTATACATATACTTAGTAAGAGGTGTCTTGAAGCTGGATATGTAGTCCACAAGATAGCTACAGAACAAAATATGCCATCAAGTATTGATATTCAAAAATTGTCTGCATAAATAGTAAAACCTAACACCAAAATTGCCCATAAACATCATTCTATAGCATCCACACCACACTGCTGTCACAACCATTGAGATTGTGTCAAGGATACAGAAGTGATATTTCAAATAAGAATTTAACAGAGATATACTTTTTCTTTTAATCAATATACACCTGCAGGTTCATATGTTGAAAATTCAATCAAAATATTAACATAACACCTGGAAAAATACCTTCTACAATTAATAAAACAGTACACATGTGACACTATAATCATGGATGGATGAAATAACACGTTCATCTTTGGTAGTGATAGTTTAGGTAAAACCTGATGCTCAGTCGATACTGTTAGACTAACGTTTAGTCCCTGAATATATCATTTTGATAGTAACAAATAAACCCATTTAAACTAAAAAGGTGCCCCAGCGAGTTGGGAGATTCCTGAACCTGAGGAAATCTAGACTTGCTTCATTTAGGGCTTTAGCATTGGAGAGAGGGCTAGGCATTAGGGAACATAATGTGGTTTAGGGACTGTGAGACAGACTATCGATACTGTGTGTGCGCTTATTACTGATATGATACATGTATCCTTTAAAGAATAGGTTACTACCACTATATCTGTATCGAGTAAACTGAAAGTTGCCCTAAACATCGGCCATAATTACATGAAGACTAATTCTAAATGACAAGCTTATATGTGAGTATCATGGATGAAATTGAAAATTGAAAACTTGAGTTACCTTAGTTCACTTGTCAGTTCATTTAAATCTTGGATGACTTTAGTGCTCCATGTTTAACTGAACTCATCTGATTGCAGGATTGCCACTATAAACCTCCATCATAATACCAATCAACATGCTATATTGGTTACCTACAATTGCAGCATGAATTTCGGGAAGTTCTCTTCAGTGTACCACCTGTGAGAGTTTACTTACCATCTTCAAATGGCTTCAGGTCTACTTTGAGCTTGAGATAGGGATCCGAGGCACACTGAAAGGCAGCATCCATATCCCAGTCAGACAGCATGCTCAGGTACACCTCCTGGCCTTCTGAGTCGGGTGCAAGATAGCCCACTGTGAAGTCACTGAAACACCAGTCAACTCACCCATCAGAAAATGTCAACAATTACTGAGGACACAACCAACCACAAGTCATAAACACAACAGCTGATCATCATATATACAAGGTCCACTGAATCACTGTAGTTCTAACAATCACAGAAACAAAATAATAGTGTGCTATAATTCTTACATCATATTATCTTGATACCAAATCTGTTTTCAAAGTGCTCATTCAAGTAATGACAGTCACAACGAATTGATTACATGGAAGCGTCATGTATGATGATAGTGAAAACAAAAAAAAAGTGTAACCAGGAGGTGTGAAGTTTGAATTGTAAAGGTTAAGCATCGGAGTTTAACTTGAACACACAGTTGCTTTATGTCCATTCAGCTGGCTATGTGGTCAGTTCCACACTGTGATGACGTACATATACATCGTACAAACATTGTTAGCACGTTAACCAAATTGTGTAACATTCAACCGGAGTCGGTCGCCTTTCCAACAGTAACTTCTTTCACCAAAACTAAAACGTATATGCACTACATCTCTGGGTGAATGTGCTGGCATTTTACGTTTGGTACTTAATGCCTACATAAACCGCACAGTATATGTCCCTCCTCTTCAACCTTCACTTTGATGTCAAAATCATATCCAAATACATCACAGAGATAAATGCAATTCGCAGTTTTGAATTCTGTTAAAATTCGTTTTTCTATTTTATCATCCTCTCATTGTTGGGCATATCTACTGAGGAAAATTACATGCATCGTAAATCCCACCAGTCTTGACATATTACTAAATTAGAATTCATTGCGTTTTGCGTAATTTATAGTTGTCTTACTTTGAATGTCAAATTTTACTGGGAGAATTAGTTGTTGTTTTTAAATCCTGTATCATTGTGATCACCGGTATCTGTTGTTGTTTGATGGAATCACCAATGCTCATTCTGAAACATCGGCGATAAACCAAGAATCGCTGAGAATATTTTGGAAAATATGCAAACTTGAATGTAGAAGTGAACTTTCAGACAGAGTGTTTATGAAATCATGTCACATGTATGTCGGTTATGTTATGCCCATTACATCACAACTATAATTCAAAACCATCTTCCTTACACGAATCCTTGAATTCCTCATACAGATCAAAACAAGTGGTCGAAGTGAGCAAAGCTCACATACCCCCGCTTCCCACTTTGGGACATGGTAATGACTAATATTGATATATATAACGTGACATGGATCAGCAGCTCAAAAGAATTTCTCTTTGACTTTATATACATGTTAGATAATAGTTTTGGCATGTACTGATTACAGTAATAATTTATGGAAACTAGATTTTTTTTGGTTTTCCGTGGAAACCTGACATACAATTGAACTTGACTGTCTCATGTTGCACACAATGAAGTGGACGTAGATGAAGATTGCTATTTTTTAGCACATGGCATATCTGTGGTTCATGATTAACTTGTGTATTAAGTTTGGTGAACCTAGCATGTATAGTTTCGATGATATGCCATGGTCAGGTAACCATCAAATACATTTTGCATGTACCTAGCATGAACCTATGTAAACTTTAAGAGATATGCTCCGGACAAAATAATCGAACACATTTGGCACTAAGTCATGTTTCCATGGAAACAGTAAAAATAATAAAATTCATATCTGGATCTAAACCCCAAAAGGCACATCTAGGGATCATGCTTGATATGTGTACCAAGTTTGATGAAGCTAGCATGTATAGTTTGGAAGATCTGCTCCGGACAAGATGACATCCTCATAGTCACAGCCTAAGTGATGTTTCCATGGAAACAGCAAAAAAATACAATTCATATCTGGATCTACCCCCCAAAAGGCACATCTAGGGATCATGCTTGATATGTGTACCAAGTTTGATGAAGCTAGCATGTATAGTTTGGACAAGATGACATCCTCATAGTCACAGCCTAAGTCATGTTTCCATGGAAACAGCAAAAAAACAAAATTCTGAAAAAACTTTAAAATAGCAAAAGGCACATCAATGGGTAATGATTAACATGTGTGTGAAGTTTGGTGAACCTAGCATGTAAACTTTAAGAGATATGCTCCGGACAAAGTATCGGGACGGACTTCGTAGCGGGGGTATAATAAAATGACACTAATACCAAGTGTCTCAGTGAAATTTGGCTAAATATATCAGATGCCGCGCTGGGAAAGGACCGCTTGTGTGAAATGTAAACAAAACCCATCTCAGATTTTACAATGGGTATTGTTTTCTCACACTGTGAGAGATCCGTTTGCCTGCTCATTGCATACACTTGCCCATAAGTTTTAGAAGATGCATGAGAAGATCATCGTAGCAAGAGATAGTTAAATAAAAGAAGGTGTATTCCAATTATTTCCAAGATTCAACACAATATATTACAGTATAGTTTTGTAAGCTGGTCGCCATGAGTGACGCAAACTCACACAACGATGAAGGCACTTCTCCTATTTCTGACTATTTCCATTGGTCACAATGAAAACAAAAAGCAAATAACAACCAGTAGATTGTCAGAATGTGTCGAGTACTTACATGTCACATTTATGCATATACGTTGCTTGAAACAAGGAAAGTTTCCTTCCAAATATCCTGCGAACTTGTGTTGGTGAACACGCCATTTTGAGAAAGTGGCTTCCAGAAAGTGATGTCATACATGCGTCAACATTGTTATACATATTGGGTATTTTCATTAGGGTGAGGTTATGAATGAAAATACACACGATCATTTCTATCTTAATGCTTACATTTTCAGTTCTAATGCTTCTTTCGTATTTTTACATACTTTTTTTCAGGTGATTAATGTCAGTATTTCTTTTGCTTTGGGACTAGACCGGAGACCAGTCTAAATCAACTGGTACCAATTACGTCATAATCAAAGGTGGTATCTCTGGCCTGTTTAGCTCGGCAAACAGAGACCTCATAATCGCATAACATTTCAGCACTTACAGTGTGGGTTATACTTTCATTGTAAGAAAAATGACTATATTTTCAAACACTGATATTACGTAATTTAAAAATTCTATTTTGGTTCACATACAAAAACAGCGATTTTTTCGTGTACACTTCCCCTTTAAAGTAAACAGGTGACAGGATCATAGAAACGGAAACTTGCTATAGTATAACCAGGGCTCCAGATAATTTTTCAACATGAAGAGTACGTACTCCTTATTTTTTCAATACAGGAGTACGGAAAAAACTTAAGAGTACATTTAGAGTAGTAAAGTTAAAGTACATTTAGAGTACTAAATGGAATTTAATGGCGTATCAGTAGTCTTGTGTTTCGTTTCATGTATACACCACAACATTGCTACTCTTGTGTAAACAGGTCAATAAACAATAAAACAATACTTTTTCAGAAAAATATGTCTGTAAATAATTCTAAGACCGAACACCATGGTCGTGGTGCATATCTACTACGTTTTCTAAATTATTTCCTACCGTATCATGCATATTTTTTATCCGTACATACACCGATACGACCCTTATCTGGAGCCCTGGTATAACAGTCACTTGTTGACTACTATACCCATCTATACATGTGCATATGACACCGTGAGCCTGACATACCCCTTGATATCAAAGGCTCTGGCAAGTATTCCCTGCAGCATCTCAAATGATGTAATTTGCGGATCCACTGAAAACTTCTTATACTCAGGCTGCAACATGCCATCGCACTTCTGAAATGACAAGATTTACCAGATGTCAAATCCTGCACCCTACATGCATAAACATAAAACTTAAAATTGGATGCAAAATATGTACAAAGTGCATACCACTAGGACTGACTGACTGACTGAGTTTGGTTTTACGCCGCTTTAAGCAATATTCCAGCAACATCACGGCAGGGGACACCAGAAATGGGCTTTACACATTGTACCCAAGTGGGGATTCGAACCCGTGTCTTCAGCGTGACGAGCCAACGCTTTAACCACTAGGCTACCCCACCGCCCGTATACCACTAGGAGGCAGAAGTTTCATGCACTTTAATGCATTGTTTATATATATAAAAATAAACAAAAAGGATATTACAAATGAAATAACATTAAAAACAAGCATGGAATACATTTTAAATCGGAGCTGTTATAATTTAACATGTCAAGTTTCTGTTGGATTTCTACCTGGGACTTGTACATGTAAAGATTTTGAGTTTCCTAGCCAATCCTTGCATGTCTTCTTCACAATGTCTATATCACACATGTCCATAACACGTAAGTCAGTATGTTCTGTGGCAGTTAACCATTCCAGAAATAGAATGACCGAACCCACATCAATAAACATGATAAATAGAAATGCAATGTGTTTTGATTTGAACGATGCAAAAATAGTACCAAAATATTCCTTGGCTCTGTTTTGAAGTCATTTTTTCAAGATAAACTCAGACACTCAGAAAACTTTCCACAAAACTCCAAAATGCAACAAAACATAATAATAATAAAACAATTGGTTATATACTGAGGGAAACAAATAAAAGATCATATGAAAGCACAAGTGTTCCTTTATTTTTTTTCCAGGTTTCTTCACAAGTTGTGCGATACAAAGGTTGTGAAGAAACCTGGGAAAAAATGTAATTTTCTGATTAAAATTGATATTTTATACTTATCCTGACTCATGCTTAATTGCCTGTCTTCTCCTTCTTGCGAACTATAGTGGAACACTTGAATCCCCTTTTGAAGCTCCCTTCCAAAAAGTGGACGAAAAGTCACTCACCCCAGTAGTCTCCCTTTACCCCATCTTTGGCGCCAAAAGTTGGTCACATGATCAGCCATGCTTGTCACTCTCTCCGTATGTTCGAGCCCGACACTTGGATTTGCAGGGAAATCCAGAGTGCCATGAGGGGAGGTTGGGAGGGCTAACCTCATGAGTCAGGATAAGTATAAAATATCAATTTTAATCAGAAAATTACATATTTTTCCTGATCCTGACTCATGCTTAATTGGTTGTAGAATCCGACGGAATCGGTGGTGGGTCAAGCCACTCTGGATTCTCTGCTGATTTACGTCCTTATACCCCCTTAGGGAACTTCAAATGGCATTTGTCCTTTCTTCCAGCTTCCTCTGATGAGTGGGGGGACCACAACTTGTCAGATTTATCCTGGAATATCTTCTCCTGACATTCTGTGTGGATTTATACAACTCCATCCCTTGATGCTTGCATCAAGTGGAGAAGCGACCCTACTTCGTGTACAAGTAAGTCCTTACAAGTACAGGGTCCATCACTCATGCTAGCCTGTCCTAGACGTGCGCATGGACTTTAAAACCGTACTCTGCTGAGTGTTGGCTTTTACAAGTCACATGACAAAAAGGGTCAAACACCGTCTCCGATCTCCAAAAGCAGCCCTCCATTATTGTTGAGATGGAGCAGTTTCCATGCAGAGCTAGTGTGGATGCCAGTGCTCTGACTTCATGAGGATTGGAGGCTCGTGGAGGGATGAAAAGGCGCTTGAATTTTCGTCTCCATAATTTAGACCTTTGTAGATATATTTTCAATGCTCTGACTGGACATAAGGATCGATCTTGAGTATCCTGTGGTCCTAATATCGACGAAAGTGCTGGGATATGGCATTGTCTGTCTGGTTGACCAGGCAGTTGATGCTTTGCTATAAAATCCCATCTTAGTCCCAGATGCACTGTGTCACGATGCATGTCAAATCTTGTTCTTCTGAAGTCTAGAGCATGAATTTCTAACATCCTTGCCGCTGTTGCTAGGGCTACGAGGAACAGGGTTTTATGAGTTAATTTCTCATATGATGTCCTTTCTAGTGGTTCATAATCTTCACTGGTAAGATGCTGTAACACCACATTGAGATCCCAAGCGGGCGCCTTGAATTTCCTTTGTTGGTCTTCCAACTTGAATGAGCGTAGTAGTGCCAGTATCTCTGGTACTTTGGTCAGTTTTATACCCGTTTTCATCATGATAACTGTGCTCAAGGCCGCTAGGTATGTAGAGAGTGTAGATCCCTTTAATCGTTTTGTCTGTCTGAGATGACAAAGATATTCCGCCACTTGAGGATGTGTTGCTTCCATCGCAGTGAAACCTTTATTCCGTGCATATTTCTTAAAACTTTGCCACTTGTCATCATACAAGGTACGGGTTGATCTACGTAAGGCTAAAGTTACTGCTTTGGTGCTCTGGTGGAATATCCTCTTTTCTTCAAGCAAAGTCGTTATACGCTCCATGCGTGTAGCTGAAACATTGTTGGGTTTCTGTGTACTTGCTTCGTGTGTGGATGAATCAGTAGATTTGGCCACTTTGGAAGTTGTAGGATTGGATTTCCTATATCTTGTATGAGGTTGGGGAACCACTCTCTCGCTGGCCAATAAGGCGCGACCAAAATCAGTTGTAACTTGTTCGTCACCTTGATTTTCTGTAATACCTTCGGTATTAACGCTGGTGGAGGGAACACGTAAGCGTTTAGTCCTTCCCAAGATATGCTTAGAGCATCTGTTGCCCATGCTTGAGGATCTGGAAACGGAGAGACGAATGTTGGTAGTTGTTTGTTGAACTTGGTTGCGAACAAATCTACCAGTGGGGATCCTACTGTCCGAATGATGTCCCTGAATGCCTCTGGATGTAACATCCACTCCGTCGGTGATGGATTCATTGGACGGGATAGGGCGTCTGCTATCACATTTCTGGCTCCGGGAATGTGTGATGCTTTTATGTCGATGTTCAGGTTGTCTACTATGCTGAATAGTTGAAAGCTGAGGTCCAACATGCTCCTTGATCTTGTTGACTCTTGTTTGTTGATGTAAAACGCCACTGTGGAGTTGTCCGTATGGATCATCAGTTGAGCGTTCTTTAGTATGCTGGACCAGTGTAGTAAGGCGTTTATAACTGCTTTCAACTCTAGCATGTTGATGTGTAGTTTTTGTTCCTGATTCAACCACTTCCCCGATGCCACTTTGTTGTTTAAGTGAGCTCCCCATCCTTGAAGGGACGCATCTGCGTAGAGATGAATGTTGGATTCCGGCTCTACTAAGTAGGTTCCTGCGCAGACATTCGACTTCCGTGTCCACCATAATAGGTATGGTTTCAGTTCGTTCGGTAGGACGAATGGATCCAGACTGTCTAGATGATCGTTCACAAACACTTGTAGTGGGCGCAAAAGTAATCTGCCTCTGTGTGTCATGTCTTGTGCTGACGTGAGGAGACCGAGTAGACTCTGCCACTCTCGTAGTGGTAGTGGAGAGAGTAGTGTTTGTGATATCATCTGTTGTATCTTGGTTCAACGGTCCTCCGGGACTAGTAGTCGATTCGTTGAAGTGACGATTCAGTATTCCTAGGAACTGTAGATCCTGTGTAGGCTCTAATTCCGATTTGAGATGATTTACTAACCATCCTAGTTGAGTGAGTAGCTTGATCGTAAACGTCAGTTGCCGTTTGAGTAGATTGGGATCTTGATGAGCTTGAATCCCGTCGTCTAGGTGAAACGCACTGCGTAGACCTTGATGATGTAGGTAACTGATGATGGGCTTTGTCACTCGAGTAAACAACCAGGGGGACGGCGATATTCCAAACGGTAGTACCTTCCACTGGTAGTGACGTCCATTGAATAGGAATCGGAGGTATCTCCTTGAGTCCTGATGTATTGGGATGTGAAGATACGCATCATGTAGATCTATGCTGGCTAGATATTCTGACGGACGGATGATCTGTCTGAGTTGTGGAAGATGTACCATTTTGAATCTTGCGGGCCTTTTTAGATAATCCTGGTTGAATTTCTTCATGTTGTAAATCAGTCGGAACTTTTCCTTGGAATATTTCTTGGGAACTAGAAAAATTGGGGAGTGAAAACCGGGTGTGGCGATTTTTATTTCTTCGACTGCCTTCTTGTCGAGTAGAGTTGTAATGGCATCGAGTAATTTCTCCTTCTGATCGGCAGCATAGTTGTACATCTGAGGAGTGCTTGTTAAAGGTGGAACTGCTTGCAGTTCTATCTTGTATCCTGTGTGTAGTATCTGGGATACATAATCGTCTTGTAGAATTCCCCAATTCTTCCAGTAAAGTTGTAGGCGTCCACCCACTGGTGAGGGTTGTACGGGAACGGTTGGGGGTGGAAGACTCCAGTCGTTCCGACCCTGTCCATCAACGTCTAAAGTTCCTGGCACCTCTGAATCCTCTGCCTCTTCCCGGGGTTACCTCTAGGAGCTCTGGTGGGGCGACGAAAAGAATCCTTACATCCCTTGGAAGTGCCATATTTCTTGTCTCTAGCGCTCTGAATTCCTGCAAATTGAGATTTGCCAGAGTAGCGCTGCGATGTCTGTCTGATAACACTGGCCAGTGTATCGATGGACTTGATCATCATGACTTCTCTGGACTACTTCGTAATTTCTTTTGCCACGTCCTCAATCTCCCCTGCGAAGATATTCGTTGCTGCCCATGGAGCTCTGATTAACGGTTTGGTGAACTTCTCACTCCATTTACAAGATGATAGTAGACCTTGTCTTCTTAGCAGCGTTAATCCCGCCGATGTAGACGCTAAATGTTCTGACATAAACTGTTGGTCTTTCCTTTGGGTCAGTAAGGCTGAGTAGATCATCCGATCTTCTTCAGATGTTGAGTTTGCAAACTTCGTAATTAGGGTTTCGTTGATGGCTCTTGATCTGGCTAAACCAAAGAAGGTACGTCTAGTGGTTGTGTCTAGTTGCGCTAGCTTCCTGTCCTCCACTTTATAAGT